CCTTAACCAAAGCAAATTGTGGAATCTGAATCAATGGTTTCATGGGTAATGTGGTTGGTTTGCATGAGGATCTTGATTTGTAATATTTGGCTCCATTGATTTTTTTTTTGGACAGTCAATGCACAAATGAATTGTTTCAGTGCAGTTTTTGCAGGATTCAACAACAGGTGTATATCAATCACACATCGAACATGCAGTGGTTCGCTCTGTTTTCTCATAAACCTGACATTTTATTAGGAGGCTGCCAGGACTCTGGAGAATTTCAGGAACATGTCCGGCCATCGGTGCATGTCTGAAAGTAACTTAAGCTGCATGTCAGTGTGAACGCAGGCGTGAGCGGTTGTTTGTCTCTACAGCCTGACGTTAACTTTCGCCCCAATATACCTGATCACAAGTTGACAGCTCTAAGCACACCGGACATTAGAAAGGGTCTCCACCTGTGATTAGATCTCACTCCCCTGCTGCTCTATATGCAAATAAACACATCATGTCAAGGACCAGACGAGTCTGTTTTTACCCCGGCTGAGAATAAAGATGTGTCTTTAGTTGATGTGTTTGAGTGTCTGAGTGAATCAATGGGTTCGCGTAGCTTCACAATGGAAGAAGATGATACTGTAGCAGGTCAGGAGACGTCAGCCGAGTAGATAATGAGTTTGTGTTCACGCTGATAAAGGATGTGGTCCCACCTTTAAATTAGATTTAAGTGATAGCAACTCAAGATGCATTTAAAGATGCATTAGGGAGCATTTAAAACTGAACACAGAGCTGCCCACTTGTGATCGGACTTGTGATACCAAGTTTGAACGGTCCCCCTGCAACCATCTCAGGATAAACGATATACATTTATACCTTTTATGATTCTAAGCCTTCGATTTATATCTGATCTGTTATTTCTTAATGTGTAAGAATGAAGGTAACAAAGATTAGAAGATCAGAGTTGCTCTTTGCAAACAGCTTCTGTCGTTCTTGTTAAAGTCGACATTTACAACAACTAAAAGCTGATGCTGTGAAATCTTTCGCTGTGTTTACAGCTCTGGCAGGTAAACGACAATCGCTCTGACCTCTTGCACGGTCATAAAAGCCGATGTATTACGCCGGGCCGTCAATCTGAGTATTTCCTCCTGTCTCTGTGTCTGTTACTGATCTCTTAAGTATTCTGAAGTTATATTTGTTGCAGTGAGCAGGATAAAGTCTGTCCAGCTCTGAGATGCTGCCAACTGTGTGAATTTGACATTTTAATCACATTTTTAAAATGAGATCTCAGATTCATTGACGACCTGTCATAGCACCGACTCTGAATTTTCCCCTCAATTTGCCATTTTGCACTAATTTATATAAAATTGTGCTCCGTGCTCGAAATTTAAAACCATCCAATTTAAACGTCCCTGATATTTCTGTTTTTCCAAGAAGCAGCTGGACTCCGCTGTGTTAAGAGAGCACTAAAGAATGAAATCGGTCCCTGTAATGTTTTTACATTGGAGACATTTAACTGATCCACTTACCCAGAGTGACAGTTTTATTTCATTAAGGTGTGGACTGGAGCCACGGGCTTGACTGTTTTTTGCCTTGACCTCAGAATAATGCTGTAAGAAGAGACGTCCAGCAATTAATTTAATTTTTAAGTGGATTTCAGAACTCATTTTCTGAACCGGTCATTTTACTGAATCACTCCCGGTGTTTGGACAGTACTGTCCCACTCAACTGCACCGGTGAGATCAGATATCCTCTTCATAAAAGAAATACTGTCGAGGTCCGAAGAGACTTTGTTTTTAGCGAGAAACATTTGTTTGGATTTTATTATACTGTTGATCGCTCTGATGGTATTTAAAATCCTGTAATATCTTTATGTTGACGACTGCCCACTCTCACTCTCAATAGTCCAGTTTAACATCACTTACTAAAGGCTAAAATATCCTCCCGTCAAATATTACCATGGCTGTCACATGACCGCCTCTCGGAGTGATGTCTGACTATTTATCTACTAATAAATTCCTCTCATTTCTACAGCAGATTTGTCTTATCTGAAGGAATTTCGCAGCCTGAAGAGGTGAAAGTATCTGGTACTCTACCCCATCAATCATCTGCTGACCCTTCTTACTCGATTTGTGACTTCTGGGGTCGGAGCATTGTTAACTACATGTTGGGAATCACTGCCTAACCCACAACCTCAGATATCAAGTCACCATGGCAACCCGACGAGCTCTATCAAGGCAGCGTCATGTGATGAAAAGCTTTAGCTGTCTGGATCCTTTCCAAATGTACATTGACTTTTTTTGGGATCTATCAGTCAATATATTGATGATGATGCCTGTGAGTGTTTTGAGTTCTGAGGTTGTCAGAGAAAAATCTGCAGACTCTCAGTGGATTATGTTTCCAACTTTGTTTGTCTGATGGGATCATCCTTATCAAAAGGTCAGTTGATGCTGTTCCTCTGTTTACCTGAAGGTACATGAGGCCCAGTAAGCCGGCTTGGTAGTTCATTAACATGTGGCTTGAGAGTGATGAATATCGAAGGTCTTACAAACTTGGGACAATCTGGAGCAAAGTGTTGGAGCCTAACGGACTCGACACAAGGATATCCTTCGTTGGTTTGCATTTCCTTCACAAGTTTGGTCTTAAATTAAATTTCAAACACTGTTAGAAAGTCTTAAGTTGAACTGAACCCTGAAGCTAAGACTTTCTGAAAGCCCTTTCAGAGAACAACCATGATTGGGTTTTCTCCCCCTGTGGCTTGAAGGAGATTTATTCATCGCATTGTTTCTGTAAATCTTGACAGAATGAGAAGCTCCTCTACACTGGTCGATATTTGTGCCGTTAAATCCCACACGACATGAACCCTGTGCAGTTGTTTCTGTGGTTGTAGAACCTGACTGAGGGAACCAGAGTGACTGGTTTCTGAAGGTGTTGTGAGTGTGAATGAGTGTATCTGTGGGTTTGTGGGGTAAACACTTGCTGCTCGACAGGTTTCAGTAGGAGGATGATGATAATCTCTGTGGTCTCATGGTCGTGAATCACTACAGGATGACAAAAAGGCCAGCAGGGTGTGAACAGAACCACAAATGAGTTGCTAGTTTTAATTTCCTCTCATTTACTCACTTAATGTTGCCTTTTGGATCAGTTAATGTAATTCATATGTGCACAGGGATCTTTACATTGTTCTCTCTCTTTAGTATTTTAAAGGGATAGTTTGCAGATTATCTACTCACCTCCACGTCGATGTAAGGGTGGGTGAAAAGTCCACAAAACACTTTTGGCGTGTCAGGGGTAAACAGAGTTGCAGCTAAATCCAATACTATTGAAGTTAATGGTGACTGAGTCTTCAAACATAGATTTTGAGTCTTCAGACAAAGAAGAACAACAGAAAATAAACATACAATGCCTCCATAATGCTCCTGGTGGTGGTGTCATCAAATTGCCTGTAAGCTCAGACATTCAAAAAGTGGCTTGAGATGTCGTCATGTACACCATGTTTTTGGATTCTTCTTACAAACCTTAGTGAAGCTTTCCTAACAAGGCTTTTCAAACATGATGTTTTTCGGGGCAATGATAAGAAATAAAAAGCTGAAAAACAAACAGAATATCTTTCAGCTGAAACAACCTCATCTGACCTGATTCTATCTGAATGATCTTATCACCGGTAGCCTCAAGTGCCCCTGAATGCAGCAGCCTGAGAGCTGAGCTGGTTGATGTTTTATCACATATACAAATTCCCTGGAGTGATGTTCCTCTGTAGTTATTCAGTGAGAAAGAAAGACAGCAGGTGTCTTGTGATCATCATAGTTTGATATTTAGCTTATTGAGAGTTGTACTGTGCTCAAAAATGTACTAAATGACCAAAAGTGTTTTTCAATCTAAAGAAACAGCTTGAAAGCAGATCGCTTTTTAAAATAAACACTTAACATTGGAGAGTTTTATATTTTCAGCGTAGACGTTTTGTGTTCCCACACCTGTTTGAGGAACCCGAAAAAGAGAGAGCGCTCCGGACACATGCCACACATTCAAACATGTTTGCCATGAACGTGACCTCAGCTCAACCCTGCGGACGCACAAATGTAAACAATACATCGCCGAGGAGTTGCGGGGTCATGTGACGATAACATCTGTGTGAAGCTCATCGGTGCGTGTCATCTCTCTAATAGGCAGCGATACAGCGTGTGTCCTCAGCAGCCCCCCCGCCACATTTCATCTCTGTCGACTTACTGGGCTAATTTCACGGTCTGATGAGCAGACAGAGGCTGGTTGACTTTTAAAGACAGTGGGTTTTTTGTGTGTTTAGAAGGATGAGGCCGAGGAGGACGTTCACCTGGCATTCTCCCTCTCCCTCCATGACTTCATGAGTGGTCGGACTCATACAATTACGCAGTGACTCACACAAACTTATGGCACAACTGCTGCGTGGCTGGGAGACAGAAATACAGCATGTTGCTGTGTGTGAAGGACGACTATGACTTTCATGAACACTTGTGTGTTCGAGTTGTGACTCATGAGATGCTCGTCTGTGGTTTTCTTTTGGCCCGTCAAACAGTGTGGGTGAAACTGTGACTCTCTGTACCAAATCAAAGTCAAAGCTATTATTTAAACATTTTGGGAAGCATGATCATGCACCTTCTTGCCTTTCGTGGCTCGGGTCTTTTTTTTGGAGTTCTTTCTGTGTCTGCGTGAGTTTTTTTTTCCAGGTACTTCCCACAGTCCAAAGACATGCAGATTGAGTTTAGGTTAATTAGAGACTCTAAATCGTTCATAAGTGTGAATGTGAATGGTTGTTTATCTCTGTGGTCCTCTGCAGACCTGGTATAAACATCCGCCCTGAGAGATCTGTGTTCAGCTCTCAGTAGGTCTGTTCACACCTGGAATTAAAATGTGTCCTGAATGTGTCCCTTGAGATCAGATCTCACTTCAAGGGGCAGAATGACTCTCGTGCAGCTTAGCCATTGTCGCCTGGTTTGTGACCTCACTGCAAAATCAACAGATTTCTTACTTTCTTTCTCTGTCTTCTTCAGGCTCCAATGAGAGGCTCTCCATGATGAGGAGCTAACACTGTCGGCCGTACAACCGCAGGAAGAGACGTGGCTGCTGCACCATCCACAGTCGACGCATGGCGGTATTAGGGGTGAGAATCACGCTGTTCGGTTACCTCTTGTTTCTCTCTCTGCACAGGAAAATCACAGAGCTTATTTTTTTAGTCCCTTCAACCCTATAGTCGCCTTGTGCTCCACCTAGAAAATCTCATTTAAAAATCATAACACTCCTGTAGTCTGAGCCGAGCTAAAGGGAATATTCTAACTATGGCTGTCCACTCTTTTCACAATTTGTTTTTTGACCTAATAAAAAAAATGAAAAATCAGCACTGTCTGATTTAAGCTCAAGGCAACATTTTCAAATGGCTTTTTTGTCGGATCATCCTCACAATTGCAAAGCTGTTTTGCCTAAAAATTGCTTCACTGATTATAAAAGACTGATCTTATTAGCTCCATCTGGAACATTGTAGATTGTTTAAAATTCAAAATCAAACCAAACTTTTCGTTACTCTTCTCAATCTGCACAGATAAAAGATTACGACCCCTACATTCATCTGGGGTCTGTACATCTTCTTCCTCGTGTCTAAGTCAGTGTGCAGATGCTCGTGCAGTCAGTCAGAGAAGATCTCAAACAGGTTGGAGCCTCTAAATGATGGATGTGAGCTGTCTCAGCGCCTTAATCACTGGACACAACCATCCATTATCTGTAATGTAGCTGGGTATAATTTCACATCTGATCATTTGCCTGCAACTGTCTGCTGCTGTGGTCTGTTGATTAGTCAGTGTGTCACACACTCGAGACAGTGAGCTGGTCAGTCACTTATTTAAAAGTCATGTCTCTGTGGGAAACACAAATATAATAGTAATTAAACATTAATTGCACTGGATAAATTAAATTAACCGCTGGTTCTTTCGTGTCAACGCTGATCTGAAACCCTGAGAAAACTAACCGGTTTGTTGATTTGATGGAGACAGAAGTAATGTGATAAAGATCAGGAAGACAAAATAAAATATGCACTAATAAAATTAATGATCGCCTCGACACACGGATAATGTAAAACTCCAGGAGTCAGACCACGACTGGAGCCAAGCAGCCGAGCCGTCTCCTCTGGGTATCAACCACACTTTCATAGAAAGAAAACATCTTTCAAACTTGAAGCTCAGGCTCACTCTAAGTTTTTCCTGCTAGAGAGGAAAAGAAAACCTCAAATCTTTAGGTCTTAAGTGTCTTAATATTCATTGATTTCATTCAGTGACCTGAAATCAATAGTGTTTTTTATATTGTTCAGTAGAAGGAGCAGCGTGTGTTTTTGTTCCGTGATAACTGACTTTAACCTTTAAATCCATTAGAACCTCCACTGACTCAAACCCTTTCTTCTAAATCTTTTTCTTGTCTTCTACAAAGACGTTGTAGTAAACATTAAAAATCACCATTTTACAAAATGTGCTGATGTTGATCTGTCTCTCCACAGCAACTCACATCACTGACAGGGATCTATAATGCATGAATGTTGTCACTAGTGAACCAGATCTTCAGATTTGAATAATAAAATCAAGATGGATAGAGTGACAGCCATGAAGACAACTGATAAAACTGTATATAAAGATTCAAGACAGCTCCCAAAAGTGACTCCAAAGTATCTAGACCCCTTCCCCCCTGGTGGCTGGCTCAAAATTGTTCATAGAACCTGCCTCCTCGGTGTTAGTATACGGGACATGGACCTCACCAAAGAAATCGGAAGTATGTAATGAGAAGGAAACCAGATTGTGATTCTTCGGCAAAGATATGAGAGCATCAGCAAGCGGCAGAAGCTGAGGAAGCACAGGAAGTGACACACTACCAAAAACAAAAGGGTATCACCCCTGAAAAACAACGCCACACACACACATTGTTGAACTGTCTGTGTGTACTTGTGTTTGCAAACTAACTTGTCCTCCGAGGGACAAATAAAGTATTTTGAATTGAATTGATAGACTTCTGGGCTCGTGCTTCCACCCAGGGGCTGCTCTGCTGCAGGATTGTGTAACTGACAGGAAAATCCAAACATCATCGAAACAATTAGCTGGAGCGAAGCAATCACTTTTAATAAAGAAGGATTTTTACAGTTGAAAGCTCATTATTGTGTTTTTGAACAGTGGATTTTTATTATTTTAAGCTGCTGCATGTGTCATCATTGTTCCAGTTGGTGCTAATAGGGACGCTGGAAGCTGTCTGGTGGGAAAAGTCTTATTTTCACCAAACATCCTGCTCTAATTTGTCAAATAATTGTGCTTTAACTAGCGACGCTATAGGGAGGAGAAAATGAGCTGTGGCTCCTGTTGACTGCCCCCCCCTCTTTCCTGCAGTTTTCATTAAGTGACATGCCTGCGTGTGGAGCAATTAAATGCTCAACAGAAAATCAACTCTTTAAAAAAAACAATTAATCGCCATTTTCAAGCATAAATACAAAACGTTCTCTGGGTACAGCTTCTTAAATGACATCATCAGTTCCCCAGCCTCTGAGAAACTGTGAGAATCTTTTCTTCATGGACTTTGATAGACTTAATAATTAACTGAGAAAATGCATGTGTATCACAGAACGCCATCTGGTGTTAATTATGAGAGCAACAGTTAAATAACGTTTGTTATAGTTAAACAAACCGACTGCAGTGAGAGAAACATGGACACCTCAGGGCTCCTGAGGCTCTGGGGTAAGATTGGTGTCAAATATCAGTATTTAGTGTTTCCTCTCTTGCTCATTTGGATTTTCAGTCACTATATGATAAATCAATTTTACCAAATAGTTGATAAAATACAGGAAAAGCAACAATCGCTGCTTACAACATCATGTGCATCTATGAACCTGCAGCCCAGCTCGCTTGTTGCAGCCCGTTGGCCTTAGATTGTCATGGAGCAGAAACGTGTTGACTCTGTGTGCTGCAGCTCACAGTCTCCACCTGTGGTTTAACGCTGGCAGCGATTCGTCACTGCCACCTGCCTTATTATTAGTGATTCAATTTTGGAAGAGTCGGAATAAAGATGGAAGCATCATCGAACAGCCAGTGCAGCTGCAGACTCTTAAAAAGTTTGGTTCGAAGAGGCTCAGATCCACAGGAGACGCATGTTGGCTGAAAAGCAGGAACGATGGTTAAGTAGCTCCCTGGGTGTGATGAGGACAGACTTAAAAACAATAAAGCCGTGAAATGCTGCAGCAATATTCAACATAATGTCCTTTGATGTGATTGTGGGTATTTTACTGCTGCTGGCAGTGTTGAACTTGCCGTGGTTTGTGTTTTTTGATATTGCTTGTGGTCGACAATATGTTTTTTAGAGGTGACATCCTCTCTGGAATTCGCTCATTATGTACTCGATGTTATCGTAGTAAGTATTGTTTTAAGTGTGTACGATTAACCTTCATATATTTGAAGACATAGATTTTGTGCTTGCGTTTTTGAAAAGTAGTTCTGTCTTTGTTTGTAACAGGCGTTAGTTGTAAATTCTGCACAATGAAAGGAGGTAAAATTGTGTTAATCTGCAGTTTAATCTGTCGTTTAATCCACTAGTCATTCAGAAAGTCTTCTGAGGACAAAATGTCAATTGCAGTTTCTGTTGTACTAACAGTCCAAACCAAAAAGATCTGGTTCTCATGACATAAAACTGAGAGAAGCAGGAACAAGAGAATATTTAACCTTTCTATTTGACTAATAAATCGTTTATAGATGCTGGTGGATTTCAGCGACAGTTAAAAACCACTGAGGACGTCTCATGTTTTGTTTATTTCTCCTGCGCATATGTAACAATGTTGTTTTTACAGACGTGGTTTTAAATTCCTTCATTTGCACGTCTGAGATGTTATTTACAATGAAGTCTTGTAGCTGTGGAGTCACAGTTTAGGAGGTTGGACCCTGTGATCTTCCGGGGTTTACTAAGAAAAATATTGTCAGAGAAGAAAAATGCACACTGACAATTATTTATTAAGAAATGAGTAACTGGGGGACTTTTGTACTTTATGCAAATATATGATGGCAAATAACTAAATGTGTATATTATCTTTGAAGTATTCTTCTATCCCTTGTAGATAATGTTGAAAAAATGTTTTAAACTTCAACCACTTCAATAAATACAGAGTAAAGTTCTGCAGAAGCTTTTGAAATGAGAAAGTTTTCTGTGTGTTTGTTAGTTAGCGAGAACTACAGGTTTCCACGAAACTTGGTGGTGGAAGAATGTTTTATTTAAATGTGGTTTCATAGGCGTGTTGGTATTTTTCAACCTCTGTGTGGGTATGTGCTTTTTTTTCTCGAGAAGTTGTACCTTCATCTAGTTTTCACTAAAATATATCAATAGAAGAAGGAAGGAATGAAGTATTACCAACACAATTTAATTTCCAGGACGTCCTCAAGTTGTTTTGACAGGAGATGAATACTGCTCTGCGGTGGCTGCAGTGTTTGTGTCAGTTGGATGTTTTCGGTTTTACTCTCAGGGAAAAAACACTTTTGGCTTCAAGCCTTAATGTTTGTTTCTGTTCTTCTTCCCCAGAACCCCGACATGCTGACGAGGAAGATAAAGCTGTGTCACATCAACGCCCACATCACATGTCGTCTGTGTGAGGGCTACCTGATCGACGCCACCACCGTCACCGAGTGCTTACACACATGTAGGTTCCCCCCCCCCCCCTTACGCACCAGCTCTTCCTCTCTTATTCTCTCTCCGTGTCGCTCTTCATCTCCTTGTTTTGTTCCCGTCTTTCTGTTTCCTGTCAGTTTTCTCCTTGTTTCTGTCGCGTCACTTTCTTGTTTACACTCGGCCGTGTTTCTCTCCCAGGGTTTTTTTTTTGGCTCAGGTTTTACCTCCAGGATTTACCTGCGATGGGAAGAATCCTGGAGGCGAGTCGATGCCTCTGTGATCCGTGCAGCTTTTGTTCTATCTGCTCTTTGACTCACAGCTCTGCCTTCAAGTCTGTATCATGTGTTTCATCACCGGCTGTGAAGTCCCTGCTGTCTGTAGGTCAGACCAGCTGTTCTCTGGAGTTGCATAGTGTTAAGATTTTAGATGCACTGCTCCAGACTTCTGTTTTCTCAAAATAGAACTTCCCTTCATTCCTATTTATGTATAGCTTCTTTATGATTTAAAAAAAATAGCCTCTCAGGTGAACAAGCAATCAGACTCGCTCTATCCCAGAAAATGGGATTCTTGTCACTGCGATGAAATCTGCACATTTATTACCCGGCAGATGAAGGAGAGAAGATGTCGCCTTTTATTCGAACGGTGGCACATCATTAGCTGGGTGTTTTGAGTAAAGTGGGATAATACAGTCCTGTCTGTGTCTGCTGTTAGTCATTATTCTGTCTGTCTTTTTTATACCTGAGAATATCTGCTTTAACATACAAGCTGACTGTGTGAATCATCTTTAGAGTTTTCTCAAAAACACACAACTTTAAGTTAAAGAAATATACTTGTTGCACAAAGTCCACGTCCTCAAACGTTTCTGAGTTAATATCGCTGGCTTTTCATTCTCGAGATTTCAAAACTCACAGAAAAAGGCCCCGGGTCAAAGCCAAATCGACATTGAATCGAACTCGTGATTCGAAGACGTGATTCGAGAGGCTCTTCGACACATCTCCTCCAACTAGATTTCTATAGAAGGCAGAATATCTAAACAAACTCTGCAACAACTCCTGTGGCTCAGGAGGAGATAGAGCGGACCGTCCAAGGTTTAGACGACTTTAAATGTCATGTAGTCTGAAGTAGGGATTACACGTCTCGTCACTCTTGCGACACGTTTTAGGGGAGAGCTTCCTCATTCAGCCAGATGTTTCCTGCGTAACCACAAGGCCTTGCATGTCCTGCTACCCCAGTGTCTCTGAGAGCATCGTGTTCAGCATCAGGCCGTGCTGGAGCGTACTGCCTCTACAGACAAAACCCTGTGCGTTACATGTTGGTGTCTGTTTTTGATGCCTGCTGAAGTGAAACGGAAGTGGTGCGGCCGTGAGTTACCTGTTTTGTGACGCCTCAGGGAGTCGCTGATCCTGATTACCTCACCTGCGACCTGAAGTCACCTGAAACACTCACATGAGATCAGATTTAACTGTTCGCTGACATGAAGGCAGACTCTGGTGGTTTGTGAGAAATCATTATAGTCTGCTGCAGCAGAGTAATGAAGGAAGTCTGTGGTTTTTATCTGACCGACCTGCAGCAAGACGTCTCCTTTGTAAAGATGGGTATCAATATCACGAAGGTCAAACCAGTTGACTCATTCAGCTCCAGGCCATTGTGACATGAACCTATTCAAGGTAGTTCCTCGCATGTCCACTTGATGGCGCTCCTCTACCACAGATGAGGGTCTCATTGTGCACATGAAGTGTTTCATTGGTGAGAAATCTATTATCTGAAGTATAAACTATTTTACAGGAGCATCTCATCCATCAGACTTCTCACACATGAGCTTTTACTGTTTCACTTCAACCTCAGTTATTCTGGGATTTAAACAGATGTCAGACAAAAACTATTTGCAGATATTGATTTCTGCTTTTCAGATGTTGTGAAGGGAATTTAATAGACTCAGCTCTTGATTAATATAACAGTATATTTGATTATTGTTAGTTGCAGCCCTAATTGTGCATCTGTTTGGAAGGAAATGAATAAAAATATTCAGCTAAACATGAATAAGTATCTTCAGCTGTATTTGACAAAGTGAGATGTGTGAATTCATCCTCAAGTTGTCAGTTGTGATTTCCATCAAGATCAGTAAACAGGAGATGATCAGCTTTATATTATACTTTAGTCACAGTTGTGCAGTTTTATATTTCACATCATTTGTCCTTTGAATACAACTGTCTAAATAAACAATATTAATGTTGGCTATAGCTTGATTTAAACATGTAGTAACCACATGTCCTGTGTGTGTCTCCAGTTTGTAGAAGTTGCCTAGTGAAGTATCTGGAGGAAAACAACACGTGCCCCACGTGTAGGATCGTTATTCATCAGAGCCATCCACTGCAGTACATCGGGTAAGTGAGGGAACCGCCCAACACACACACACACACACACACACACACACACA